GGCGCTGTGGTCACGCTGTAATCCTAGCTTTGGAGGCCGAGGCGGGCGGATTGCTCAAGGTCAGGAGTTCAAAACCAGCCTGAGCAAGAGCGAGAGACCCGTCTCTACTATAAACAGAAAGAAATTAATTGGCCAACTGATATATATATAAAAAAAAAATTAGCCGGGCATGGTGGCGCATGCCTGTGTCCCAGTACTCGGAGGCTGAGCAGAAGGATCACTTGAGCCCAGGAGTTTGAGGTTGCTGTGAGCTAGGCTGACGCCACGGCACTCACTCTAGCCTGGACAACAAAGCGAGACTCTGTCTCAAAAAAAAAAAAAAAAAAAACAAAAAACTGAAAATCATGAACAGGATGACTTCTAAAACTATAAAGTCCTACTACTGCTTCAGTTGTTTGCCTTGTTCTTTTGTGAGAAAAGTGCCTGGCATATAGTAGTGTTCAGTAAGTGTTAGCTACATAATCAAGGTTATTATTATTTCAGGTCTTTGTTGCTGGTAATTGTACCAACTTATAACTGATACAGCAACTACCAAAAATTATGTTTATTACAACTCTTTAATGGTCAGGAAAGATAGCCTTAATAAAATGTTTGGTGGGAGAAAACACATTACGAAACTGTGTATATATGTATGATTTCAGTCTTAACGATTACATAAATGTGTAGAAACACATCAAAGTTTTAATAGTAATTAGTTCTGAGTGGTAGGATCACAGGTGATTTTTATTTTAAGTGTTTCATTTCCAAAGTTTTAACAGTAAACGAATAACATTTACAACTAGGAAAAATGTTCTAGAATAGATTATCTAAGGAATATGGTGAACAACTGTGTGCATAAGCCATGAATTCTCCCACAGAACATAAGCAGCAGGAGCCAGGGTTCGAAGTAGAGCCTTGTCAATGGAAAAGAAGTCAAACTCTGTAAAATAATTTAAAGAGGTTTATTCTGAGCCAAGTTTGAGGACCATGGCCCAAGTTGAGTAAGTGCCCTGTTGGTTACAGTTTGGTTTTACACATTTTAGGGAGACAGAAATTACATGTAAATTATAAATCACAGCATGTAAGTGTATATTGGTTTGGCCCAAAAAGGCGGAAGATTGCAAAGTGGGGGCTTATAGGTTATAGGTGGGTTTAAACAATTGTGATTTGTCATTGGTTAAAGAAATGAAACTTTGTCTAAAAGCTTGGACGCTTTTAAGGAAGTCTGTTAATCAGAGACAAGTCACTGGACATATACCCAGACTCAAATGATCTGTTAAGTAAATTGAGGACCTGCAGGTTTGTTTCATGTTGTAGAGCAGCCGTTCCCAATCTTTTTGGCACCAGGGACTGGTTTCATGGAAGACAATTTTTCCACGGACAAGGGGGAATGTGGCGGGGGCAGGGGGAGATGGCCAGCGATGGGGAACAGCTGTAAATACAGAGAAGCTTCAGTCACTCACCCATCACTTCCCTCCCACTGCCTCACCTGGCTCCTAACAGGCTGCAGACTGGTACTGGTCTGCCGCTTGGAGGTCGGGGGTCAGCAGTTGCATAACATTAGGCCTGTTAGTGAGTTACAAAAGATATCTACAAGAAAGGAAGGGGAGCATGATGAGGCATGTCTGATCTCCCTTCTCATAGCCAGCAACTCAGCTTTAGGGTATTTCTGGGGTCCCCTTGGCCAAGAGGACCTCCATTCAGTCAGCTGGGGGGGGGGCTTAAGATTTTATTTTGGTTCACAGCCTGTACATAGATAAATTGACAAATGTATATACATACAGGTGCCCAAAAGTTTTCAACTTACAGCTAAGAAATGTCTAAATGAGAACACTGAGTCCTCCTCAGTCTGAGGAACTTAGCTTGGCAGGGGTCCTCAAACTTTTTAAACAGAGGGCCAGTTCACTGTCTCTCAGACCGTTGGAGGGCCAGACTATAGTTTTTAAAAAACTACATACAAATTCCTATGCACACTGCACACATCTTATTTTGAAGTAAAAAAACAAATGGGTATGGCCGGGCACGGTGGCTCACGCCTGTAATCCTAGCACTCTGTGAGGCCAAGGCAGGTGGATTGATCAAGGTCAGGTGTTGGAAACCACCCTGAGCAAGAGCGAGACCCCGTCTCTACTATAAATAGAAAGAAATTAATTGGCTAACTAAAAATATATAGAAAAAATTAACCAGGCATGGTGGTGCATGCCTGTAGTCCCAGCTACTCGGGAGGCTGAGGCAGGAGGATTGCTTGAGCCCAGGAGTTTGAGGTTGCTGTGAGCTAGGCTGACGCCATGGCACTCACTCTAGCCTGAGCAACAAAGTGAGACTCTGTCTCAAAAAAACAAAACAAAACAAAAAACGGGTAAAAACACCTGCACGTGGCCCCGTCCCATAGTTTGAGGATACCTGCTCTAGAGTGAGAAGACCTATAAGAAACACCAGGCATGTCTTATTAAACAAATTAAGTATATATGCTTCTAATTGATTGCCCATGGAGACAGAGACACAGCCCCGGGCACTGTCCGTGGCAATTGTCTGAATTAAACAATCGTACCAATAAGACTAATGTTGCATTGACTTAAAGCTTTGGTTCCCCATGTGGAGCCAGGCTCATAATTCCACCAACTTAACACAGAATGTGTCCCTGTGCATTTCCTTCCAGCAAACAGCATGGCTTATTGAGTGTGGTATCTGTGCCACTGCCCACAAATCAAGGAAGAACTCTTTCAGGATCAAGGAAGTTCAATTATATATTTTACATTTGGGTCTTACTTGGACAGTTCTGAGAACCACCCAAGGAAAGTGGTTTTATGACATAAACCCCAATAAAACATAATTTCTTCAAGAAGAGGTGCAGTACCAACAGACCATTTTCAGAAATTAACATTTGGGTCTTCATACATCTTCAGTTAGGTCACCAAAAAAAAAAAAGAAAAGAAAAGAAGCAAAAAGAAAAATATGTGAGTCTTCAAAAAAAATTGCTAGTCCTGGTATTGTACTCAGAATTAAATATAGGGCTCTTACCAGACTAGTCAGCACTTTTGTGAAGGAATGTTATACTTCCAGATCCTTAGTGTGTCTTCCCATGTCCTTCTTCCCCCAAACCCCCAGCATATTTATAATTTGGTAAATTGCTCAGCTCAAGCTCTAGCTGACAGAAAGGAGTTCACTTTCTCTTCACTTTTCCCAACATCATTTTTTTCAAGCTTCTGGGATCCAAAAGCACAAGAAAAGTCAAAGGGACATTTAGTGTTCGAGGCAGAAAGTAATTCCTGTGAGTAAATATTTACTTGCTCCTATTACTTCTCAAGGCATTATGAGTAATAATAATTGCTGGCATTCGGGGCCAGCCTGATGGGCAGACTGCCTGTGCAGTGGAATCTGCCGCATCCTCAGAAGGACCAATCCTGCACTTGGCTTAGTGCTATACTGTTGTCATGTTGAAATTCGTAATAAATTCTGAACAAGGGGTCTTGCATTTCCATTTTGCACTGGGCCCCACAAATTATGGAGCCAGTCCTATGAACATTCATAGGGCTCTGTTCTAAAACTTCACCTTATTAAACTTGAGTGGCTGGAGTACCACTAGATTGCGTGAATTTCCTCTGTTACTTAGGGTAATGTGCAAGAGTCTGTTTTCTTGCTACTAAAAAGTACTTCCCTGAGAAAAGGGAAACACTTGCTCTGCAAGGCCTTCTGTTTTAAAAATTAAAAACAAACACCCTATCTTGTTACTGTTTCTTTCACATCACAAATCTGCAATTACTTTAGTTGTTTGTTATTTTCTGCACTGCCCCCTCTAGAAACATAAGCTCCCTGTTTTTTATTACTGAATTTCAAGCATGTAGTATAATGTCTGACACATAATAGGTAATCAATAAAGGTTTTAAGAAACTAAGTATCCAAAGCTTCTTGAGAAGCTTTCTACATGTAAGTGTAGAAACAATAGCTCTGCTACAAAGTGCTACAGAGTATCACCACCTGTATTAAATCACTCGATTGCCTTGGATGCTGAATGATGCAAAAATAATGCTTTTATGGCCTTTTATAAAATAAAAGCTCATTTAATTAAACAATACATGAGTCCCAGCTATCTGCTTGGCACTTTGTGACATGCCAGAGGCATTCTATTATAACAGGAAGTCCCTCATTTCCAGAAGTCGACACTGACTGAGCAGGGAATGGTTCTCAAGGGGGGTCCAATATCAAAACTATACTAAACAGTATTTCCCTTTTTCATGCTCATTCTCTCACAAATGTGGAGTTTTCCAAATGGTACATGATATGATGTGTAATGAATAGGAGTGAAATCTGTGCTTGTGTGTTATGGTGTCTTAAAATTTTCTCCATTTTAAGGTCTAATTCAGTAAATTTAAATAGGTATAATCCACATTTTAAAAAAAAAAAAAGCTCTTTGGGGTCTTCCAGAATCTGTACGAATATAAAGGGTTTTGAGACCAACTTTGAGAACCACAGCGAAACAGAACCGATGCATCCCTTTAGCAACAAAGAACACACAATAAATGACAACGGAGATTACAGTGTGAGGTTTGGTCCCAACCAGAACGTTGGGAACCCACTGTTGTGTGTAAAAGGAGATGTCCAGGACAGGGTGAGGGGCCAAGGTGCGCAGGGAGTCTCCGCAAGGGTACACACCTCCTTCGCACTCCATACAAGCAGCTGTACATTTTTCTCTTGCAGATCAGGGATCTTATCAAAACCAGGGCATGGCTTGGACAAGACAGGAAATTTTAGGGCGGCCTCTCTGAATTATGTTAAAAGTCTGTCCATCATTTAGTAATAACTGTAAAGTCTGGCCTAGGAGCTAAAGTATCAGCTTCCTCACTTTGGGGTGGGAGCTAGGGAGGTGGGGGGCGTGCAAGGCAGAAATGGGCGGGAAAATTACGAATTAAAGAAAGAAGGGCAGGCTGTAGGGGGAGGGGAAGAGGCAGCGCAGGGAGCCAATGAATGAGACCGAGGCTGCAGCGCGTGCGCCAGCCCTCCACATGCGCAGGCGCACGCCTGGCGATCTCGCGGGAAAACAACCGTTGCCTGTCTCGGCGTTGTTTGGAGGTGGGGGGAGCGGTGGAGGCGGGAGTGAACTCTCGCGAGAAGAGGCGGCAGCCGTAGCGGAGCAGTGTGGTTGTGTGTGTCTGCGGATCCGCCGCTCTAACTGCGGACGGTTTGCTAAGCCCGTTAGTGCCCTCGGCCGAGACTCACGCCGCCGTCATGTCCCGCTACCTGCGGCCCCCCAACACGTCTCTGTTTGTCAGGAACGTGGCGGACGACACCAGGTAGGTACAGGCAGGTGCCGCGGGCCTGCGCCGGGAGGCCGCGGGCGCACGGAGAGGACCCTGGCGGCGGCGGCGCCCAGCCGGGGGAGGGGAAGGGGTGAAGATGGCGGGTCCCGCGCCCGGACCAGGCCGCGCCGCCGGCCTCCGCCGCCGCCCGGCAGTGAGGGCGGCGCCCCTGCGCTGGCTGCGGAGCGCGGGCCGCGTGGCGGGGATTTCGTTGCCCCTCCCCCGCCGCACTTCGGGGCGCCCTCCTCCCGCTTCCTCTCGGCGCGGCCAGCCCCCGCCGCTGGCTGCCGCGACCCGACATCCGCTCCCCATTGATTGGAAGTTCGCGTTCTTCGGGGTGCACGCCCCCTCGGCCCGCACATATTTTTTTTTTTCTGTTAAAGATTGCGGTGCAATAACGGGATCGAGGGAGAGACATGTGGCGAACCATTTGCTATCTTTTTTTCTTATTTTTGGTTGTGGTTATGTTTGTGGTTTTTAGTCTGTTGGAGACGTTTGGGGGAAAGAAATGTTGAAATTAATGGAGTTAAATTTTTTGAGTTAAATATTGCGAGTGGTTTTCCCCGTTACATGGAAATTCTGGTCACCCTTTGATAGGTTTAGGAAGCCTTTATCTTTAGGACGTTGACATCTAAATTAGATTAATCCGTACCTACCTTAAATAGGCTGTGTTCTCACCAGTTCCCTTAATTGTTTCGAGTTGCCTTCATATTTCACAAGTAATGTACAAACAAAAAAGAAGATGTTGGTTTTTGTTTTTTGCTAGCTTTGTGATTTTCTTTTGTCTTAACTTTAAAGAGTTAGGTATGTTTGTGACTTGTTTTTCAGACCTTATCTACCTACTATTAAGTGTCTGATCCTGTCACTAAAATTTTGTAGTAAAAATAAGTGCTTGGTATTTTTCAGAGTAGGGGAGTTGATTTGATACTGTTAAAGGAAAACATTAGCAATGCTTATATACAATCTAATGGTGGTGTACCTTTTATGAAAAGTGCAGACTGAATACAAACAAATGGTTATCATTTGTTTATACTATATATCCGTTTTCTTGTTGATATAAAATAATACATCTAATTATAAATTGGCATTTTTATCCTTCAAATTCTTGCATCCTAGCTTTCCTTTATCAAAAAGATGTATTGCCTGTACATCTTTGTATGTTATTAGTTGGCTTTTGATGTTGAGATTTAGAAAGCTTGTTTGTTTCAGGTCACCCAGGGATACAGCTGTGATCTGTGGGTCGTGGTATTAACCACAGTCCCTTTCATTGATTGAAATATTACAGAAATATAACTATTGCTTACAAAGAAGCTCTTTTAAGGGCGTGAACATAAAAATTTGAGGTCTTTTTATGATGTTTTAGGTCTGAAGATTTACGGCGTGAATTTGGTCGTTATGGTCCTATAGTTGATGTGTATGTTCCACTTGATTTCTACACTCGCCGTCCAAGAGGATTTGCTTATGTTCAATATCCTTTCTTCAGATGGCTGATTAGTGAGGGGTGTTGAAGTTTGAAATTCAAGTTTATGTAAGTGGTAACATCTAAAAAGTAGTTTATTTTTGTCCTCTAATAAATGTCTTATGTCTTCAAATTTTTGAAAATTGATTCTGACTCACACATTGCTCTTACTATTTCTTAAAGTTAATCCAAAAATAGTAATATTTAAATTCCCATTCATGCTGCTAAAACTCAAATCAATGATTATATGTGATTTAAATTTGAATACACTCTGGTTGCTACCACTTTTAATGTAAGTCAATTAAAAGTTAATATGTTCTTGTGCTTAGCAATTAAAGTTTGGTATTCTTGTTTGTTAATTTGAATCACTTGATCAAAAACAAATTGTATAACAATGAGGTAAACTTCTTTAATATTGTCCCCTAATTTGCTGTCCTCTGTTGTTACCTCAGAGAATGTAAAGCTGTACAGTTATGGCGACCCCAAAGAGAAAGCATGAAAGAACCTTTAGAGTAGAGTTCAACACTTAAGGCAAGTAGACAAGCCAAAGACCTCTTAAGGATCAGGCTTGAAGAGAAGGGAGAGTTTGGGAAAAGAAAAAATAAAGAAAAGCTGGAAGAAGGACAAGCCTAATGGGAGACAAAGCCTCGCTTTATCTACAAAAGGGGGAAAAGGTTGTTTTTCAAAGTTAAAGATAAAGCCATCTGTCATATTTGGCCAAGCATCTCATGACAAGTCCTTCTGACAAGCACTTAAAGAGTTAAAGGTCAAGATGAAGTTGAATGATGGCCAAGATTAAAGGAGTCATACCTGATGTATCCTACAGAATAACTATTTTCTTTTTTTTTTTTTTTTTTTTAATGTTTTGTAAGCAGTTAATTTTCACAATTATTCTGGTTTGGTCTAGTGACAAAACCTGTAACTTGATTTGTGTGGGCCTTTGATGTTGTGATTGTGGTCTTGTATAAATGCACTCTCTCTTAGCTTATCAAGTTAAAGTGTAATAGGCTGTAAAAAATTGTTAAGAATCAATTCAGCATATTTTGGTTTTGAACCAGGTGGTCAGATACCACAGAGTAGCAGACTGCTCTTTGGGGTAGCATGAGGTTCTGGGGTCAAGCCACAAAGCCCTGCTTAAAGGAGAGACAGGTGCATGCACTGGGGACTGCTTAGAAACAGCTCTGGTGATCTTGTAGGGTCAGATCTACTAGAAATACTGTTTATTTGTAGATTTCAAAGTGGCTCCTGGGGAGACACACAAACCCTTAACTTCTGGAACTTAGCTCTTTGTGAAGCCTACTGGCCCTACACTGCTTTAGTACACATGATCAGTTGGCCCTGAATGGGTTGCACAAGGCCTTCTCCCTGGGTACCTAATCAGGATCTATGGGAAGTTGGTCCCTGACCTAGAGTTTCAGGTGACCTTACTTCCTCCCTTTAGTGAGATCATCTCCCTGCAACAACAAAAGTTTGGGCTGTGGACCTCAAGCTAGAAGAACTTCTCACTGCTAAAATTCAGTGAATCTCTCGAAACTTAAGTTAGCAGAGTCCTAGTGAGACTTATGTGGAAAGGCCGAAAGCTACCCCTGCCGGGCCAGTGATCAAGGACAGTTGTGGGAATTGGTTGCAAAGCTCTGTTACAGAGAGGATAATAATTATATCTGGTTTGGTAAATAAAGATGGACGTGCATTCTGGCATATAATGTTGACCTGATTTTACCTGGTTTGGGATGGCCTGGGAACCAAAGTCAGCAGTAATTAGACTTAAGAATGTGTTATACTTGAGCCAGAAAAAGTGGGTCATACAAAGGAAGGTACAGGAGAGTGATAATTTTTATATATACGTATTTAGTACATCTTTATAATCTTTAAAATAAGTAAAAGGAAATAGCAGGCTTATAAGTTTCATTTTTGGAAAGACCATGAAATACACATTTCTCTATGACTGGCATCAGAGTGATACTTGGCTGCCACTACTGCTGCTTTCTCTTCTATCTCACTCCATTCGCAATTAGCCTTCTGTTCCTATTCCTGGCTTACCAGGTAAAGTAGAACCTTGCCATCCAGCCCAGGATTCTATTTTTAAGGATAGCTCCAGAGAGTATGCTCTGCTCTCACTAATAATTTTTATAACTCTCTATGTAAATCCTTTTTAAAATTGTTATGTTCTTTGTCTCAGGTTAATAAATAAAGTATTATACCCATTAAGCGAGCTTACTCCTTTTTAGTTTAGAGCCAGCCTGGATACCGTGAGGGATGTTCAGTTATAGTATTCAAGATTCTAAACTCCCCATCAGCCTTTGCCTTTTCATGTTGAAAGCCCAATCATTCGTGACTTGTGAAAACCTCTCCTTCCATTTAACCTACACATAATGGCCTCAAGAAGAGAGAGCTGGAAACCTGCTGCAGTTTTTTAATTCCTTTCAGAACAAAAAGTGGGAAGTCTAGTGAGGCAGACCATTTAGTCTCTGGAATAAAAGAATACTAGTATCAGTGAGTGTGTCACTTTTGGGATGTTTTTTAATCAGCTCTCCAAATCTGCACTGTTGTATTCTGTTTCAAATTTAAGCAATAGAAATGTGCAATATAAAATAGCCATTTAAGGATAGAATGAAAATATGTGCCTGAACCTAACCTAGCTCCCTTTTCAAACCTTTTGTATCAAATGCTACCTTGAATGTATACTTGGCTTCTGTCAGAATGGTAGTTTTAGGAAAGGAGCTAGGTTTGGACAGAGTAACTATATAAAGCCAGGGGTTCTTAGGGTTACTGCTGACATGAGTGGGGAGGACAAGACAGTGTAGCTTCTCAGATCAAAAATGAGTACCAGCAGTTCCTGCTTACAGCTAGTAAATACTATCTTGAAATTCTCAAGTCAGAAACTAGTCCTAAACCAATTTCTTTGCTGGAAGCTGTATATTTAGTATCGTGGTTAGGGCTTTCTAGTCTAGAAGTCCTTAATAGCGATTTGTTATTTCGCAATAGCATGCTTTTACAGTCTGTGCATGGATGTAATATGCTTGTGGTATGTTGATTGTCTTCAGTATTGCCTGACTCTGTCTTGATACCCACAAGTGGCTAGCGTGCCAGTCTTCCCTGTGCAGTGCATGGAAGACAACTACATGAATTAATAGTGTTAGATATATCTGGAAAAAACGCAAAGTATGGAGTTAATGCTTCATCTCTTGTAAGGTAAGGCATATTCTGCTTGCTTACACAAGAACTATTGGCATTTTCTTTTTTTCATTTGAAACATGAAAAACAGTATTTTGGTTTTATTTTAAGAAATTTTTGTTTTAGCATACAACACAGAACTGACATATGTTGTTTTTTTTTTTTTTTTTTTTTTTTTCTTTTTGGTCTTGTTTTGTAAAGTTCTTAAAACTCAGGAAAACTTTTTGCTAGGAAAACTTGGTGATTCAGCTATAACATGTTATTTCAATAATAACTTTACAATATATATTCACATGTGTTTTCAAAACCGTGCTTTAGGAAATCTTACAAGTGCTTTATACTGTGAAATGTTAATGGCTGAATCGACCAACTAGTGAGTGGGATCTGATTGATTTTCTAAAACAATATTGGGAGATTATTATTTGTTCCAGACTTACCAACTGAACTTTCATTCATTATCAAAGTTTGCAAAACTTCCCAAGCCCCTTAACATTTAGCACATTTGAGGATGTTCGTGATGCTGAAGATGCTTTGCATAATTTGGACAGAAAATGGATTTGTGGACGTCAAATTGAAATACAGTTTGCACAGGGGGATCGGAAGAGTAAGTACCCTTATGCCTAACATATAATGTATTATTTTTAGCCAGTGTTCTTGAGATTTTAAGTATTTAAGCAATTTGTGTATCTATTCAAAACACTGTTTTTAAGAAGATAGAATATCTTGAATATTTTATACTTTTCAGATGGATTACAAAGTTTAAGTGTAGTTGTAGCTAGGTTGTGGAGATCAGAATGCCTGCAATATGTTTGAACTTTTCAGAAAATTGATCATGCAAGGCTTAAACCAGATGCTAGCTGCATATTGATAAAGTAGGAGTATGATAAAATAGAATCAAATAAACCTGGGTTTGAATTTTGGCTCAGCCTTTATGTTGTCTTGGTCAAGATACTAAAAGAGATTAAAATAGCTGCTGAAGAGGAGGAGCACTCAAGTAGACACAAGGTATTGGTAATTCTCCAGTTCTTGAGTTGGGTAATAGGTTCCTGGCTATTCATGGTATTACTTATATATACTTATACCCATACAGAAAGTATCTGCTTCATAGAATTGAATGAGATAATACAAGAACTGAGGATTGCCCAGGGGTGTGGGTGTGTATGAGGCAATTAGTGTTAGCTCTCTTCCACTTTTCTTTGTCATGATCTCAGAACTGTAATTATATATTACTGAATTTTAATACTACACATTGTTCATAGCCACCAATAAGTATTTTGTTGTTGTTAATTGTGTTCCTAAGGAATGGAAGCCATGGCAGGGATAATTACAAATCAGTTATCATTCAAAAGCCATTTGTATTTTAATTTGGAATTTTAAAAATTGTTTTATGGTGTGGATTCCTAAAGTCAAAGAGTTGGCATGTCTTGGGGGGTGGGGGAGTGGAGGTGCATTCTCTCTGTTGCCCAGGCTAGTGTGCAGTGGATCAGTCATAGCTCACTGCAGCCTTAAACTCCTGGGTTGAAACAGTCTTCTGATAGACTTCTTAAAAATAAATACATACCTTTTCCAAGATTAATATTCACAAATTAACTTGACCTAGCCCAAGAAAGAAATGAAGACTAAATCACGTCCTGGGTCTGTGTCTAGCACCAAATATAGAGACATCTCTAAGACGGATTCCAAAACACATGCATTTCCCTTGGTTTAAGAGAAAGGATGCAGGAATCTTTTTATTTCTTGCAGACTTCAATGCTAAGTTTTTAATATTTCTAAATATTTCTGTTCTATGTATTTCCTAGCACCAAATCAGATGAAAGCCAAGGAAGGAAGGAATGTGTACAGTTCTTCCCGTTATGATGATTATGATAGATACAGACGGTCTAGAAGCCGAAGTTATGAAAGAAGGAGATCAAGAAGTCGGTCTTTTGATTACAACTATAGAAGATCTTATAGTCCTAGAAAGTAAGTGTGATGTGTAACACAGTGATTTGTTTTAAAAAGATTGTTAATTTTTTTACCTTTTTGTGTATACTTTTAATTATATCCATTGAATGCTTCATTGAGACTAAAAATATTTTAGTGTTTCATTTTAAAAGTTTTATGGTTTCACATGTAATTTGAAATTTTGGCTCTTTATAAATAGACATGTGTCACTGTTTGCTTTTTCTGATATGCTTTTTAGCAGTAGACCGACTGGAAGACCACGGCGTAGCAGAAGCCATTCCGACAATGATAGGTAAATAACTTTGCTTTGAAAAAACTCATACATTTTTCAATTTCAGAGTGAACTTTTGCTCTAAAAATATTAATAACAAATTTGATTAATATAGAATCTAATTTTTACTCTAATTATATCTCTCCTCTGTTTTGAAAGATTCAAACACCGAAATCGATCTTTTTCAAGATCTAAATCCAATTCAAGATCACGGTCCAAGTCCCAGCCCAAGAAAGAAATGAAGGCTAAATCACGTTCTAGGTCTGCATCTCACACCAAAACTAGAGGCACCTCTAAAACAGATTCCAAAACACATTATAAGTCTGGCTCAAGATATGAAAAGGAATCAAGGAAAAAAGAACCACCTAGATCCAAATCTCAGTCAAGATCACAGTCTAGGTCTAGGTCAAAATCTAGATCAAGGTCTTGGACTAGTCCTAAGTCCAGTGGCCACTGATAGTATAAACTATGATAATTTTTAGGCATGTATCATTCATTTACTCATAGTTTGGTTTACTTAAATTATCAGGAATACAATGTTGCAATGATGCTTAAAAACACTTGTTAGTTTTCCCTGTACCAGGCAATGGTTATAATTAAAATATGCTGTTGAGAAGCCACTCTTAAGAGTCCAGTTTGTTTAATGTTATGGGCAGCTACCAATTTGTGGTGTCTCTGTATATTTTTGTAAAGATTCTCATTTTTTATGCTTGAAGTATTTGGTGAAAAGATGTTGGTTGACCATAATTTGCAACATTGTCTTATTAAAAATAAACTTTCATATTCATATTTGGTAGAACTGTTAACCTAGAATGTAGCTTGATAATAAGATAGAATAATACAAAAGTGAAGTTGTAGCCACAGTACAACACTGACTGCTCAGACACATTTAGGTTCAGGGTGGACCTTTATGTCTTGGCAAGATGTCTAGGCCCCTGATAATAGTTTATTTATGATGCAGTGTGGAATAGTTCTTTTGTTAACCTCACTGTCTTGGGGAATGATGCCAACTGGGTTATGTAGTATTTTGAGGGAGGTGGAGTTTTTGACTGAAACATGGAGCCTTCACTGCTTTTTTCTGGTTTCTATGAAGATTTGGAACACAGAAAACATCAGAAAAACTCACCTTAAAATTCGAGCAGGCCAATGATGGCAAAAATAATTTTAAGAGGAAAAGGGTGTTCTTATGTAGTTACGCTAAAATTTAAGGAATATTGTTGACCATAATATTGCTTAGTTTTTTTACTGCTGTTAGAGGCAAGTAAATTGTTTCATAGTAGGTTTTGTGTGTGTGTATGTATGTGCATAGTGTAAAAGAACTGAATTTTGATGCTTAAAGCACTTGGCTTGTGCATTTGTATCAAAATTTGCCTGCCTCTTCATGAGGGAGATTTGCTCTTCACATTTCAGTTTATTTAATATAAGGCAAGTTGAAAGACAACACTCTCATTCTAGGTGATTCTGTGGTGCCATGAAATTTAAAGTAGTTTTCAAAAAGGATTAGTCAGTTTTAAGCAAGAGTCACATCTCTTGAGATTTTGATTATCAATGTGTAGTACCCAACTAAAATGAAGAAGTAATATCCTTATCCATTTATAATTTCTAGTATTTCTCTGAAAGATCGTTTTGGGGACAAAGTGACTTGACATGTCCAGTCTCATTTCAGAATTAAAAGCTGGCATCTTTAAAAATCTCAGATTGCTTGCTTGCAGATATAAGTAAGAAATTACAGGGAAACGATTCCTTTTAGAGGATTACTTTTTCAATTTTGGTTTTAGTAATCTAGGCTTTGCCTGTAAAGAACAAAAAGATGGTTTTTAAATACTGTTTGTGGAATGTGTTTAAAGGATTGATTCTAGAACCTTTGTATATTTGATAGCATTTCTAGCTTTCATTTCTTTACTGTTTGCAGTTAATGTTCATGTTCTGCTATGCAATCATTTTTATGCACGTTTCTTTAATTTTTTTAGATTTTCCTGGATGTATAGTTTAAACAACAAAAAGTCTATTTAAAACTGTAGCAGTAGTTTGCAGTTCTAGCAAAGAGGAAAGTTGTGGGGTTAAACTTTGTATTTTCTTTCTTATAGAAGCTTCTAAAAAGGTATTTTTATATGTTCTTTTTAACAAATATTGTGTACAACCTTTAAAACATCAATGTTTGGATCAAAACAAGACCCAGCTTATTTTCTGCTTGCTGTAAATTAAGCAAACATGCTATAATAAAAACAAAATGAAGGAAATAATGATTAACTGGAATTATTATAGTATTGAATATGATTCTAAAATAACAGTGGAAACAATCCTTTGTAGATTCAGGAATATTTTTAATCAGTGTCGCACTAGGCACAACTAACTTTTACTTAGGAAATGATAGCACTTGCCAGATAGCTACATCTTTTATGTAGTACTTAAGAATTCATTATGTAATGTCAAAGTTGTTTTATGATTTGCTCATTAAGCCTCTTGGGTTAAATAACTATTAAGAGGTTATTTGGTAGTATTAAGATATATATATTAAAGTGAAATTTGGGTTAGCTAAATATAAGTTTATACTTTATTGGGTGGATCAGTAATTCCCACTTCCTAAACAAGATGCATCGGGTCTTCTGTTTATGGCATGATTTTAAATTCTTGTTCATTGAATGTTGGTGAGTAGTAATTAATGTGTAACAACCACTTTGGGGAAGTAGGTGAGGTGTTTTGTGATTTGAATTTGCTACTTCATGACAATTATAGTATTTATGATTTGCCAGACACTTCAAAAAGCGTTCTGGTAACTCATTTACTCTTCATAAAACCCTATGAGAAAGATAATTTTATTTCCCTCATATTGCTGGTAAAGAAACTGAGGCGCAAAGAAAAGACTGTTAAAGGCAGAGGCAAGATTTGAGCCAGGCCTGGTCCTTAGATTTGTTTGTTTGCAAACTATAATTTGAGAGAAGTAGATTGAGGAGATAGCCCACTGAAATTGTTCTTAGTCTCTGTGTAGAACTAGAAGGTCTGATGTTTTCATTTTATTTTCTACTCGTGTCACCTTATTTTTAATCTCAGACTATTTTCTTGAGAACCTTATATGTTGTTTCTAAAGTCATATACCTAACAGCTTCAAAAGGTTTATAATTGAACCCATGATGGTTAAGATCCTACAGAAAATTGGTGACGATCTTTACATAGTGTTTTAAGTTAATTTTGGGTTACGTAGTTGAGTCCCACACTTACTGAGTACCTACTGTATGTCTGGCACTGGGCTCAATATTAAATAGATTGGTCATATCAACACTCAAGTGAGGGCTGAGACTTCATCTCTCCTTTTACTTAAGATCTCTGCATTTTTTTTTTTTTTTGAAGCCAAGTAAGCAAGAAGAAAAATGAGAGATAATGCTTCAGTGAGAGAGGAAAGGTGCTACATAGAGTATGCGCTATTAAGTTACAACCCAGGGAAAAGACCTGGGAACTATTGTATTATTCTCTTGAAAATTTGGCCCAGTAAGCTGCTACATCCAGTTCAACTAACAAAATCCTGTATACCACAGAGAAGAATAAAGAAAACCAAACTGACAAACATCCTTCTTTTATTTAAGACCAAACTGCAGCTGGAATACCCAGTACAGTTCTGCTTACTACACTTCAAGAAAGATCTGAAAGCGGAAAAAGAACCAAAGAAGGGCAGTTCAAGCGACCAAAGGGTGGGTGGAAGGTGCTGCAGTATGAATACTGTACGAATATTTTGACTCTGGTCTGAAAAGATAAAAGAATGTTATCGAAAACTACATGGAATAATTGAAGTCCCTTCAAGTTTGAAAGTAAGCATTTTAGGACAAATAAAAGGAAATTCAACTTTGTACTTGTGGAAACTAATCCCTAAATATGAATAGGTTTATATTGATTCATGGGTAACAGGTCCAAAATAAATTATTGGAAACTAGGATGTCTGGATATCAAGGAAGACAGCCATAGTCTCTTACAGTGCCTCTATTGGTCTGTCTCAAACTGAATTGGGTGGGGAAAGGTGTGGTCCAATATAAACTTCCTTGGTTATCTCTTAAAAGTCAGTTCCATTTTCACCATTATTGGCAAATCTTGCCTTTATATTGGTGCCAGTGTTTTTGCTTAATCGTTTGCTTTGTTGGCATCTGAGTTTACTTGTACGCCACATGCAGTTTACATCTTCTTTTACTCTTTCCCAGGTAAATTCCAATTATACTTGACATCCAGCTAAGAGGGCCCATCTCTTCTCAGTTCTTTCCTAGTCAGTATGTTTAGCAAATATTTATTGAGCCCTTACTGTGGGCAAAACATTGTACTGGATAATTGGGGAGAAAAATAGATAATTCCCTTATTCAATAAATGTCTACTGAGCACAATCTAGTGAATCATTACAGTATGGCCTCATTGTTTTGTTTGAGGTGTATTCGTAACAATATTTTACACCATTCGTATCTGTAATTATAAAACCCAATATACTATCAAAAATAATTTTGTGGTTATCTGCCATTTAAAAGTATCCAGTATTTTCTGTTTGCATCCATTAATACGAATAATGAAAAGATGATGTTTTAATCTGTAATAAACTGGTTTATTGTGCAGTGACTGTAATATACTAGAATTATATTAAATTGTTAGCTCTGCCTCATCAATCACATATTAGGAAATAGTCCCCAAAATAAGTATTTAACTTTGCATTAGATATCAAGGAGACTCTGGGTGCTATAATTAGATTATTTTGAGGCAGACAGAGAGCTGTTGTCCCAGCTGATTTAGTATGTTCTGTAATTGAGAAAATGTTCACCAAATTATACTTTTTAGTGATTTACATGTACATTTTATAGGGGACATGTTCTGTGTATAGTGAATAAATAACTTTTATAGTATCACAAAATGTTTTGGATTCCTTAGTTCCTTACTAGGATATGAATGAAGTCTGTTTACTTATATATTGACTCCATCACATATTTGATTTTTGTCATATTTTTTCCATGTATTTAAAACTGTTCATATAAAATTATTCATCTAAAAGTATGGAAATGGAGTTTAAGCCTTTATAATAATTTTGAAAATATAGCATAAATTAACATAACTTAAGGGAGGTGTAAAATGGAGGTATTTTAATTCCTATTTTATTTAAAAAAATGTTTTTCTTTGGAGACAGGGTCTCACTCTTGCCCGGGCTAGATTGCAAGGAAGTCATCATAGCTCACTGCAGCTTCCAGCTCCTGGGCTCAGGCGATCCTCCTGCCTCAGCCTCCCAAGTAGCTGGGACTACAGGCACACACCACAACACCCAGCTATTTTTTTTTCCCTCCTCTTGGTAGAGACAGGATCTCTTTATTGCCCAGGCTGGTCTTAAACTCCTTGGCTCAGTTGATCATCCTACATTGGCCTCCCAAAGTGCTAGGATTACAGGTGTGCGCCACTGTCCCTAGCCCTGTTAAAAAATTTTTTTTGAAACTTGCTGAAGATCACACAAGTGACAGATCCTAGGTTAGGGTCCATAATTTTTCACCTGGTTCATCTTTATTGCTGTTTTTTTGTTTTGTTTTTTTAATCAAATGAGAAAATGTTTTTATAGCTTTATTTTCATGGAGATAATAAAATTGATACAGAATCTAGAGTTTACTTAGAGCAAAGATGACTATAGATTTAATTGCAAAAGGTATTTTTGTTTCATGCCTTTACATAATCATTAACATTGAGGTGGTGGTTCTTATGGTTTGAGGTTCTTTGTATTTTTAAAAATAATATGTAGAGTTCATAAAGTTTTGCCCTCTACCTCCTTCCTCCATTTCCTTTTGAATTAAGGTTAAAACGTTCAAGGAGGAAGAATTAAGTTGCATGTTCAATTGAGATTTTGTTCAAAAAATATTGGTGAATACATATAAGGACATTAACAATACTTGATAGTTCTCTAAAGTCTTAATAATATAAATCAGAAAAGGCCCATGTGGTTTTGGCAGCTGTTAAATTAGAATGAACTGCTTTAGGGTGTTTTCTGTGTTTGTTTCCATTTATATTCATTGCTGTCAATATTGACCATTTAATGCCTAAAAACACTCCTGGGAAATGGGTACTATTCTTCCCATTTTACAGATGAGAATATGTCTTTTGTGTAATACCTACCATATGATAGGCTTCCAGATTACATTGTTCATTTCTCACATTACACGATAATGGTTAACTTTTCTGGGTGAGAAAGAGTAAATGCAACCCAAGGTCTCACAGCTGTTGTGGCTCAGAGACTTTCCAGCCTGGTTTTCTAAATTTTAAATCTCTGGTAGAGATTTTTCCATAGTATTACATTTTAACCATGTTCGTGTTTACAAAGCCTGAGATTGGCATTCTACTAAGAGGAGCATCAAAGGTTTTAGAAATCCCAGGAGTGAAGTGTTCTCATTTTAGATGGTGATGACTTGATAAATAAGGTGAAGTAACCTGTTTGTCTTCAATTACTGACATTTACAAGGCAGTCTGCTAGTCACTGTGGAAAAGTTCCTTTTCAGTTTTTTCCCTTGCCCTTTCCTCTCACAGTATTGGTTACTTTTCTTATGTTTGTATTTGTAACAGCTGTTCACCCTTGTATTAAATGATGAGGATTTTTCTTTTTTGGAATAAAAAGCAAGGCATGTAAATTCATTTCATTGAGAATTGACAGTAGTTTGTAAAGAAGTAAAAGGCCTTTGTATCTAGCTCTTTGCAGATCACATTTTTTTGAATGCTGGAGTGTGAAATAAACTGGTCTAGGAGCAAACATATCTTGGGTTTTTTTAGGTTTTGCTCTCTTAGATTTGTGACTACCTGGGCCTATGAGAATGCAACTAAAACACTACGAAGTGTGTGAAACTTATCCAAAACTCTTCAATTTTTTCCCACCTTGTGCTTGTTTAGGGGAAGACAACTTATCAGAATTAAGTTTGAGGATAGGTTATGATCTGGATTCCATTATCCTATACACTGCCATCAAAAAGATAAGACAAATTGAAGTGCAGCATTATTGAAGGCTCACAGTATGGCTGATTTGAGCAGCCCTACATGATAGGTTCTCTGTACCAGCTACTTAAAACCCCTGTTACCATACTTTTCTGTAGGCTAACCACAACCCTACTGGTATCTTTCTATTATGAGATGTTCATATCCTGAACCCTTTATTCAGGTTACCCTTAAGCTATTATCATTTTTATAAGTAATCAAGAGCCTTGGCCAGTGTGTTAGCTCACACCTGCAATCCTAGCCCTCTGGGAGGCTGAGGCAGAAGTTGCTTGAGCTCAGGAGTTTGGAGACCAGCCTGTGTAAGAACAAGACCTCATCTCCACTAAATTAGAAAATTAGGGGTTGCTGTAGTCCCAGCTACTCAGGAGCTGAGGCAGGAGTATGTCTTGAGCCCAGGAGTTGAGGTTGCTGGAGAGATGATCATGCTACCTGGGGTTGAGATAGACTGTCTCAAAAAAAAAAAGCCTTTTCCATTCCCACCCTCCATTCTGTGATCACTTTTACCCATCGAGTCAATCCCAAACCAAAAATTTCAGTGTACAGATCAAAAACTACTAACAATGCCTAAATTGGGAACTGTTCAATCCAGTGAAATTCCAGTGCAAATTAAAGAATTTGGCAATCCTTGGTATTGTTGTTCATAGAAATTCACTGGAAACCTAACAGGAAAAAAATGAAGACCTAAATGTTGGTTTGTACCCTACCTTCAAATCAATCGTGCCTACAGTTTGCATGAAAAAAAAATACAGCCTTGCAATGGGATTACTAATGTAGAATTTAAGGAATTATTCTTGAACTAGTTTAAGCTGCCCCTTATTTGGAACTATTAGAAAGTGTGCGTGGTTGATGCTTTCTCCAAAGTCCCCTGTGTAGAGTATACTTTCATTATCAAATATTTAAACACAGGGTTCTTGAGACTTTTTCTGTGATTTTCCTAGTACCTAAGTCATTTTAGAATGTAGAAAAAATAATATTAAAACCCTGGCTTACTCGACTTTCAAAAGCTTTGTGAAATTTTGCGAGTGTGTCTTTTTTTAACTGTTGGTACTACTGGGAGGGGAGCCCAGGTAGTTGCCTAAGTGTATAGCTGTCAAACTAATCCAAATACCTTCTTTACCAGCAAATTATTGCCTCTTTTCAAACCAACAAGTCTTAATCACATTTTAATATTAGAGTATATAAGAATATTAGGCAATTATAACAATCTTTTAAATAAAAACAAGCCACTGGGGAGAAAAAACAATTTTTATTTTTAAATTTCATGATTCAAATTTGTGTTATGTACATTAAGTACTTAATATAAACTTTAAGATACCAATATTTGACTTGGGCGATATTCCTATGAATTTAGTTGGAGAACTACAAAAGCTACTCTGCTTATAAACATCAAAAAATGTGCCAAATTAGAAAATAGGACATTAATAATCCAAGCTTTTTAACTGATACTCATACTTTTTAAACTTGCGATTAGGTTAAGCTGTTACATTTAGCATTTACCCTTACAGTTGGTAAAACATGTTATCAAAGTATTATGCAAGAAATTACATCTTCTGCATAAAGTAGTCCCTGGGTTGCACTTATTCTTGACAAAAAACCAATGGTACCACCTTACACTAAGCAGTCTTTGTATCACAGGTTGTAAGAATTGGTGAAACAAAATGAATCTTTAAGGGACCTTTAATAGTTCATCTTTGGGCTTAAAGAAGGGGGAAATAGTCCCTACTGCATTTTACCTCTTAAAATAAGAAGTGTTTAGCAGCTTAAGTCTGTTTACTTGTAATATAAAACTTATTACTAGCTTTACTTTGAAAGAATAGTTTACAACCAATACAATTATACACACTGGCACTTTAGCACAAGGGCAAACTTTAAAACAAATTATTTTGGACCTTTAAAATTAGGCCATAGTATAAAAAACAGTCCATGGTCGTATATTCAGCAAATTTATACTAAAATAGTCTATTTTTTAGGATAAAGGCCAAGAAAACTTCACATATGCTATAAGTTTATTACATGTATTTACATGGCTCTTCTTCCATAGGTACTTAAACTTTCACATTATACAACTCCCCACTTAAGCAAGCTTGCAGGGATGATGAGGCCAGATCACTGTCAGAATAGCGTTATGCAGTGCTATAATACAAAAATGTATTTGAAAGCTATTCAGTGACCATTTAAATACTGTTTCTATAAAAAATGGTTTTGGTGCATTTGTTAGCAGACACCTATCCATGCATTAAAAATAGGGCCATCAGGGTATTTGTGCCTCGTTCTAGTAAACCCAAGTACCCTTTCCACATCACCACTGCACAATTACTAAAATGCAACTACTAAGAAAAATTCACATTTTCTTTTGGCCGTGCATCAAGTTGTTGGCGTATTACTGGTGTGGCTGTTTCTAGTATACTGAACTTTGAAATGTTCAACTAGTTTTCCATCTCTGCACTTCTTAGCTAGATGCTTATAATCTGATTCACTAACTCAAGTAAATCTACTGAGATCCATGAATGATAAATCTTAATTATTATGTTTCCCCCCAACAAACAATAGAAAAAGTTTATTCCTTTACCATTTCCCCAAATCTAAACTTGAATAGTTTCACTTACAAGATACTCGATTGAGAATACTTATTACCAAATACAATTATTAATTTAGTTACCTTAAGCTGCACTGATACTACTATTACATCACAGTGCACACAACACATAAAGCAAATGAGATGAAATCTAATTATATTTTTTACATTAATTAGTTCTACACAAAAGGATTCCCTAGTGAATCTGTTTCAGACCAATTGACTATCCATAAACCACCTAAGTTTTAAAAATGCTACTTTGTTATTTTATATCTGTACTTTAAGTAAGGTTTTAAGTTGAAATGTCATTATTTCCTTGTCTGAAGGATTAAAGGAAACAGGAACCCAGTGGCTTGGTGGTTTAGGAAGAACACTTGGTGATGGCGGCTCACTAAATTTGGCTCCAGCATAGTTTTGATTAGCTTGAGATTTAAAAAGCAAGCTGGGACTTGATAAGCTAGAGTTCCAGTTTTGATTATTTGGAAAATTTTTGTTCTTCCCCCCATTTTGCATGGCCTGCCATGCAGCTGCTGATGAGTTATAACCATGTCCTCTTTCTTTTTTCTTATGAACAATCTTCATTTGGGAATTCTGATCCTTGGTCTTCTGTCTATTAAGCGGTTGTTGGTTCTTACTAACATTTCTAGACTGAGGGGCTGGAATGTTATACCTCTCTGCGCCACCCATCTTCAGCTTCTTTGTCACCTGTAAGTGAATGGAAACAAATACTGAATTAAAAAATTCCAATAAGAAAAGTTATAAATCATCTTCAAGAAGCTTCTATAACCCCAATTTGTAACTCCGTAAGTCTTGGAAAAACCTCAAAAATAGGCTATTCAGCTGCTTTAACTCAAAAATTAAAGCAAGCTGTTCATACCTCATTGTATGCAGTTGATTTCCTTCCCTAAGAAAAATGAGCTTACCCCACATACCTGAAAATAATCCTCTATTTAAAAATAAAATCTGTTTTAGGATGGGTCCATCAAAAAATGTTTCCCCCATTGTAATGTGAATTTTTAAATACCTTTCAGTCTGCTTTTCAGATTGTAGGATTTCCACTACCTGTCCTCTTCCTTGTTGCCAAGCCCAGGATAATAGGTGTTGCTTTCTGAAGGATCCTTTCCTTTGTGTCAATACAGAAGTTTTCATGGGCCAATCTGCTGAGTTCAGCCTAGGAGCTGAGGCCAACATCTGAGTCTCCTCAGCACACAGGTTTGAGAGAAGCCCTAGCTAGAAAAATAAGGATTATTTCGTTACTTCAATTCAAAAACACAGAGAAAGCGATCGTTTAGATTTACTAAACTGAAATAGCTGACTGTAAAGAATGGCTGCTTCCTGAACTAACAGGTAGAAAATAAAGTCTCTGAAGATAGCTTTTTTTGACTTCAGGACCCCCATCACTTAAAACTTTTTTTCATCCTTGAGCCCCAGGAACTCTGGGCAAGTTTTGGAAGGATGTCTGCAAGTCCTACAAAAAACTTTTGTTTTTCCTAGGAAAGACCTTTCAGATTTCCTCACGTAATTTGTGACCAAAATGTTAAGTCAAACTAGAGAAGCGTTAATGTCATACAAAGAAACTGGCTGAAAATTGATTTTTCTAAAGAGACCATGTTTTTCAAAATACCACCAGAATTTTCCAATCTTTCGACAACACGTACCCGTTTTCAGTCTCCTCTCCCAATAAGACATCATCATGCAGTGCTTCCTTTGGTTATGTACACCCTCGACTCCTTCCCGTTTTAAAATAAGTTTTCACAATCCTTAACAACCTACGCCATTGACCCATCTTAAATACATTGGAAATGCCTCCCTACAATGAACAAGATTAACGTTCGAGGTTTCGCTTTCGTTTGATGTTCCAAGAAACCAAGTTACCAAATAGTTAAACCACCTTCCTTTCCAAAGGGTAAGAAAGAGGGCCTTCCAGTTTTAGTAACCCTAAGTAAATTACGAGTTCCGGACCTTGAGTCATTCACAACTCGAACCCGAAAAACTCGCCTCCTCCGACGCGGGTTTGGCTTCCGAGTGGCTCCTTCGGCCTCGCGCCCAGCCCGGGGTCCCGGTGCTCCCGGCCGCCCGCCCGCGTTTCCGCATCTCCCTGCTCGCCGCCTTCCCCCAACAATGGGAGCGCGGCCGCCAACATGGCCGCACCCGCGGCGCCGCCACCACTCACCGACTTCGAGCTCGGAACTGCGACGGCGACCCCCTCTCGACAGCGAAGCCTCCCTCCCTTTCCAGGGAGAGACGAGGCACGGATCGAACAAAGCCCACGAGCACCGATGCGCTAGTTGCTCACCACCTAGCGTCTCCTGCCCAATCTCCTCCTTCTGCCTCTACTGACAAAATGGAGGCAGTGGCGAGCGCAGAAGCAGGCTCCGCGGCCAATCAAAACACGACGGCGCGGAACCTGGCCAATGAGAAGCGGGCCACCGCCTGTTGCTGGGGCCGGCCGGGGGCGAAGGCGGGGAGTTGGTTGTTGCCCAGGGTTTGAAATCCCCCCTTGGGAGGAGCATGTCGGGAATAACTGCCCGGTCCGGAGCGGCCGCCCCTGCCCTGCCCTGGGCCGCGGCTCGGGCCCACCCCGACGGCTTCCCGGCGTTAGGGTGACCCGAGCCCCTGGCCCACCCAGGCTGCCTCCGCCAGCTCTTGACGCTGGCCGAGGCGCGGCGCTGTACGCTCGGCACCCGGGCCCGCCGGGCCGTGGTCGGCCGCCCGCTCCGTTCGCCGGCCTTGGAACTCCCCGGGCTTGAGCGGAGGGCGCTGGGTGCGCCGAGGCGCGTGACCTGTTTTTATAGATGGAAGAAACTAAAACAAGTTGCTTTCCCTGCCCAACCCTCTGCACACCTGTCTCGTGCTGTTCCTCAGTTACTGCGCGTCCCCAAAGCTGCGGACCCACCGGCTCCCTCCGGTCCTCCCACCCTCCAGCCTCGCACTCAGTCCAAAGTGGCCTCCCTGCAAAGGCGATTCTGACACACCCGGGTCGAGTTAATCACTTCCCCCTTTGTGCCCCCAGTGGTCTTTAAATTAGAGCCCTTTATCACACCGTATTATAGTCACTTGTGTCTGTGTCTACCTCCACCTGTCCCTCCGCCACACTTCCGCGAGGGGCAAAGCCAGGTTTCATTCTTCTGAGCACCGCACATCGCTAAGTGTACAATAAGTTTGTTGGAGATGAGGACTGCTGCTTTTATTCCCCTTTCTGCCCCATTTGTAAGTGGAAAAAAGGGGGAGAAAGAGTATATTCAGTTGATTTTGCCAGCAAGGTGCAGGAAAGGGTCTTGTTGACATGTCTAAGCTAAAAAAAGAATAAAAAAAAAATTAAATAAGGTGCAGGAAAGGGGAAAAGGACAACATCTTTGGAGTCAATGTATAAGGAACCCAAAGTGAATGTTTTAAAAGAGAAGAGACTAATTGCTGTGAACATGAATAATTCTAGGGTAAATGGACCCAAATCAATCTCTTTACTTTACATTCACAATATATGCACGCATATACATAAACTGACATCACAGGATTTATGTATACTCACTTTTTACAAATCTCACATAATTTGTTTTCTAAACTTTAAAATTTTTGCCATCACCTCCCAATCCAACCCAAAACCTCGTGTTCTTCTAGTCATGGATCTTAAGAAAAGTTACTGCATCTTAAAAGATGCACTTTGTTAATCTAATTTGGTAAAATGGAGAGATATTTTTGAGATGAGGACTTTCTGATGCCAATCATAGTAAAGTAAGATGTGCTTCATAAGCCATCAGCTATCTTAGGGAAATGTAACATTTTCCAAACATTCAAGAAACTTGCTTAGACATCTGGCCAGATAATCACCAGGCTGTATTTAATGGATTCTTAAAGATGTTACTCTTTCAAAAATCACTTTAGTGGCTCCAAATTATAATATAGAATAAAATCTAAACTCAAAACATTTCGCAAATTATTCAAAGCTATTGCCATCTAGAATTAGTATTTTTTTTTTAGTTAAGTGAAGCTGTGGGAGTGGAGAAGGAACAAAGGAATCTGTGACTGAATGTGATCAATTAGTTGTAAACACCACTGCATGCAGACCGACCTAGAATCAGTCTCTCACTCTTCAGCCACCCTCTGAATCTTATCTACATGGACACACCCGTAATGTATTGGAAACTTACAAACATACACTGTAAGGTATACACTTACACTGCCCCTTACCTACCCTGTGCTAAGTTGTTTTGCTTACATCATTTCATTCAATCCTCACAACAATTTTATGGGGTAGGTGCCATTTTGATCTTCACTGTACAGGTGAAGAATCTGAAACTCAGTTTAAAGCTGAAAGCCACACACTAAGACTACAGAGTCCAGGCTCTCTATGCCCTCCAGCAACTGTGTCTGAGTCATTTCTGTGTCCTCCCCAGCACTTAAAAGGTACTTTGCCCAGGGCAGACACTGTTTCCTGGGCTGCCAGGGCTGCTCGGGCAGCATGAAGCCTCCCATCCTACCATCTGGCTGAACCAGTTTCTCTGCCAGAGGTCAGAGTCAGACTACCTTCAGGAGAGCACTGTTAAAGCTTTAACCATGTCCCAGGCTCCCCGTACCCTCTCAATATAGCTCCAACCTCATCGTTCATTAATATTTACCAAGTGCCCACAACGGTTCAGAGCTGGAGAACGAAAGTTAAAATGATACCCTCTTTGGGACATCTGATCCAGCCTCTCTGCCTGTCCCCATGTGGTCTTTAAATCAGTTCCACCAACACAATCCAATTAGTGGTTCTCAATTCAAATAAGGAGAATGTTGATACAAACAAACAGCTCTCAGGATATGGATCACCCATCCTGGGAGCCAAATGCATAATAAATACGTGAGTGTTCAATATAAAACATTTAGCAAAGATTTATCTTGTACCTATTTTGTACCAGGCACTCTGCCAAGCCCTGGGGATACAACAGTGAACAAGGCTCCATCCAGGCTCTAAAGGAAACCAAAAGCCGTTCCCTTTACTGTTTATCTGAGAAGGAAACTGGTGTCTGGGGAGATTTATTTCTAATGTTCTTTCCCTGGGAGTCAAGGACAGGCAATGCCAAAATCGACCTGTCAATCTTACTAAAGAGGTGCAGGTTACAGACATTGTGCCCAGACCCTGCAAAAAAGAGTAGAAAAGGAGGGGTGAATTATGTAGCAGAGGGAGCCAAAATCAATGCAATTGTTAAGTAAACATTATCTACTAATCTGTAAAAAATGGAGCTAAAAGAAGGTTTCTGAAAGCTCAGCGTTAGAGAATGGGCAGGTTGTAGGCTGAAGGGTATGGTACTTTAGCCCCCACACGGTGGGGTGCCAGGGTGGGCGGGGTGATCATACCTTTAGAACAAAGCTCCAGTGAAACTGAGTGGCTGCTTTCAAACAAAAGCTGGTTTGATTCTTTTTCACCCTGAAGCTCCTCTGTGAATTCAGATAGTCAACTTTGAATGCGTGGAGGTCTGTCAGCTGAGGGCTTATTTTAGTTAGAAGCAGCAAGCAAATTCTTGGAACCTGCCAGAGAGTAAAATGGAACACCTGCCCAATGTTTTGATGTGCCTCAGGGCTCTGATCTTGTTGCCAAACTGGTATCAAAACACACAGTCCTCCCCACACCATGAATTTGTTTCCTGGGGAAGCATCTGCTGCCGGCCCCTGCACGCTCACTGGTTCCTGAGAAGTTGCAAATCTGTTCTCAGCCATTGTAGCCATTTCGGTGTAATTACTAAATGGGGCACAGGAAGTCAATGCTAAACTCCCACGCCTTCTGTGACTCTGATCCAGGGGTTCAACCTTCAAGACCTTTCAAGGGTTCTGATACCCAGACCCCATCCTAGAATCACAATCTCTGAAGATGGATGCGTGGGATTCCAACCCAGTTGATTCCAATGTCTCACTCCAGTTGAGAACTGCTCTCGGTTTTTCAAAGGGTAATCCCCGAGTGTGGAGGTGTATGTATAAAGGAGACCTTCTTTTTCCTGTGTAATTCTCAAAGCTAGTGATCACACCAAACAACCCCCCGAAAATGAAAAACTAGCTCCGGAACACCCAGGGTTATTTAGATTACCGTTTTAAAGTGTTTTTCACACAGCTGGACTCCCAGGCTCAGCCACCAGGTTCCCCTGCTAGTCTGTTGATCCCAACCGTCCAGTTCTTGGCCCACTCCAGGGTCTGAACATCAGTCCTCAGGCCAGAGGCTGCTGGACGGGGAAAGAATGAGCAAAACAGGTAGAGACGGGCAGCTGAATTGGTAGAAGAAATCTGAAACACCCAATACTCAGCCTCCCAAAAATAATGGCATCTGGGAGTCATCTACTTATGTATAAGACCATGACAATACCCATCTCCCAACGTTCACACCCATGGCATGAAGAAGAGACATGCCATCCCCATCTCAGATGTAATGGGAGGCCCTAAAGAGAATTAGATGAGACATGAAACCACTAAAGCTTCCACACAGTGTTTGCTCAGTGACAGTCTCTAAATTCCTATAAACATGTTTGCTTTGTCGTTTTCTACTTTTCATTGTAATAGCACCTAGCATTTTTATTTAACATATTCCAAATCTACACCATCAAAGTGTTTTCAGTGTATTGTTTCATTCAATCCTGCCATGCACTTTCCAAGATAGGCAGGGTGGCCATTCTACAGATGAGAAAGCTGAGGCTCAGGGAGACACATTCAAGTCTGCAACAGAGATCTTGTATGTTAAATATTTTCATTGGCCTTTTATTTTATTTTATTTTATTTTTTTTGAGACAGAGTCTCACTTTGTTGCCTTGGCTAGAGTGCCTTGGCATCAGCCTAGCTCACAGCAACCTCAAATTCCTGGGCTCAAGCGATCCTCCTGCCTCAGCCTCTCAATTCGCTGGACCTACAGGCACGTGCCACCATGCCCGGCTAATTTTTTCTATATATATTTTTAGTTGGCCAATTAATTTCTTTCTATTTATAGTAGAGACAGGGTCTCGCTCTTGCTCAGGCTGGTTTCAAACTCCTGACCTCGAGCGATCCGCCCGCCTCGGCCTCTTATTGTGTTAGGTTTACTTTTTAAACTCAATATATCATGAGCATGTTTCCATGTATATAAATATGTACCTACATTGTTGTTGACAACATTTTATGTTCTGATCACCTGTCATTAATTTTACTATTCTCCATTGTGGTTTCTAATTTTTTGCTATTATATGCTGAGCTGAATATCCTTAAGAAAAATCTTCAAATAAATTCCCTTTAGGTAAATTCCTAGGGTTGAAATTACTAGGTTACAAAGTAAATATATAGGTAAGACTTTGGATACACATTATCAAATACCTTCCAGAAATTATGTGTCCATACACGCTCCCACAATCAGGCTAAAAGCAGGCTAA